TTCTTGAGAATTTCATACATGAGTATTCTACTTAAATCATTCCCACTCTTGCTTATGCCCCTCCAGTTCCTACTGGGTCCACCACTCCCTCTCAAATTGCAACTCTTCACCTATGGATGGGAAATTTCTTCCATCTGATTTGTTGTGGTGATTTGAATAAGAATGGCTCCCATAGGCTCATAGATTTGAATGCCTGGACACCAGGGAGTGGTACCATTAGGAAGTACAGCCTTGTTGGAGTAGGTGTGGCCTTGTTGGAAGAAGTGTGTCACTGGGGGTGGGTTTTGAGGTTTCGATGCTCCGGCTAGTCGCAGTGTCTCTCTCTCTCTCCTCCTTCTGGCTGCCAATCCAGATATAAAAGTCTTGGTTCTTTGCCAGCACCACATCCGCCTACATGCTGCTATGCTTCCCATTGTGATGACAATGAGCCAAACTTTTGAACCTGTAAACCAGTCCCCATTAAATGCTTTCCTTTTTAAGAGTTGCTGTGATCGACTGCACATGGTGGCACATGCCTTTAATCCCCACACTCAGGAGGCAGAGGCAGGCAGATCTCTGAGTCTGAGGACAGCCTAATTTATAAAGCGAGTTCCAGGACAGCCAGGACTACACCAAGAAACCTGTCTTGAAAAAACAAAAACAAAACAAAAACGAGTTGCTGTGGTCATGGTGTTTCTTCATATCAATAGAATGCTGACTAAAACACACATCAACTGGAGTTGTCATTATGCAAGTCTTGTTTAGGCAATTATACTGTTGTCATTTCATGGGTGCAACTTTCCTGTCATGCATAGAAGACACTGTCACACAGGAAACATCCTGGTTGTTTGGGACCTACAATCTTTCTGCTCCCTCTTTCACACATTACCTGAGCCATAGATGTAGGGGTTGCACTGTAGATATTACAATTTGGGTTGGGAACCTTATGGTCAGTTCTCTGCAATTTGACAGGTTGTTTCTCCACAAATATTATATTCACATCTGTGGTCCCTAATGGGGCTTTCCTTCAACATGCTTTCCAATATAGCAGGCTCTTTGCCATCAACAAAATGTGTTTTGCATTATTCAGCTTCTATAATCCTGTAAGCAACCCCATTGGAAGGCAAGAAAACAGGGTCTTTACATTCTAGGGGGTGCTGTGGGTTTTTGTTGCTGTTGTTGAACTCCATGAAGATTAGTGGAATCTTTTAAAAGTGATAGAGGTTTAAATTTTGTTTAGTGTGTGGTAGGCAACCATTTCCCCCAATAAAATTAAGACAAAGTACAAATATATGAAACAAGCTTAAGCAAAAGAATTCCAGCGTTGGTGGCACACGCTTTTAATCCCAGCATTTAGGAAGGATTAATCTCACTTAATCTCTGTGAGTTCAAGGCCAGCCTGGTCTACAGAGCAAGTGCCAGGATAGGCTCCAAAGCTACACAGAGAAACCCTGTCTCAAAAACAAAACAAAACAAACAAACAAAAAAAAGAATTCCAACTGAAGCTGGAGTGACTACACCTAAATAGTATTAAGAAGTTGGCATTGAACAAGGTGGAATGCATGCCTGGTACTGTTAACCAGGCCATAAACCTATAAACCTATAACTGTCAAGGTCACTGGCCCCTCAGAAAAAACCTAGTACTATTATTTTTCTAGATGACATAGTAATAAACTACCCCCTAAGTTCTTATCTTTATGCCCATATATAAGTACATCTCTCAGTTCTCACCAAAGAAGCTTCTTTTTGCAGTAGATAGCAACTAATACAGAGGCCAATAGCTGGTCAACATACAGAGAATAAATAAGAGACTAAAAGTACTCAGTTATGGATGGAATGTCTATATTACATCCCTTTTCCCCAGGGCTCAGGGATCACAGTGGAAGAGGTGTCAGAAAGACTGTAAGAGCCAAAAGTAGTGAAAACCTGCAACAAAACAGTATTTGCTGGACATGAAAGGGCAGTTGCACACTTTGAATCCACAGCAGCTGTGAAAGCATGCACAAGAGTTGTACAAGATCAAGCCAGAGAAACTTCTAGCATGGACCGGGGAAGGACTCATGAAGTTCCACCTGTAGTTGAGGAGTTATTAGCAAATGATGGTTCTTGGGAAAGGATGGTTGTTCTTCAGGTTGTACAGGCCTACAGGCTCAGGGTCTAGTAGAGGGCCCTATACCCATGCACACTGGCGATATTAAGTAGACTCAGTGGGTCTTTAAAAAACAAAAATCAAAGCAAAGCAAAGCAAACAAACACATGAAGTTGAGAGGGAACAGTGGGAGGGGGAATGGGGAAGAGCTGGAGGGGGTAGAAAGAGGATGAATTTGATCAAAACACATTATATGAAATTCTCCAAAAAAAAAAAAAAAAAGGAAAGGAAATGTAAGCATTAAAAAGACAAGAAAAGAAGTTGGCATTGAGTCAGAAGACCTACGTTCAGTACCTCTCCTCACTAGACCTAAGAGCCTGGATTTGACCCAAAGCCAGTGTGGAATTCACCTGGATGACCTTGGACACCTTCCCATTTACAAGCTGTGCTCAATAATATTTGCCTTTCAGATAATATGCAGGTGTTTCAAGATATGGAGCAGATTTTAATTTATAACTTATGTGGTATACTAGCTTAACATTACTATAACAAAATAACTGAGATAATCAACTTACAGAGAAGGAAAGGTTCATTTTGGCTCACAGTATTGAAGATTCTGGTCCATGATCCATTGTTTTGGAAGTTGCTGAGAGGAAGCTTAGGGTGGAAGGAAAGCATGCCAGAGGGAACTACTCACCTGGTGGTAGCTGGGAAGCAAAAGAGAGAAAGCAGGAAGAGCCAGGGTCCTGATATTTTTGAGAATAGGCCCCTGTGACCTAACTGAATCCCATGAGGCCTTATCCCTAAGGATTTACCATCTCTACAATCCTTCCTGAGTGGGCACCATACTTTTTAACACATGGGCTTGGAGGGAACACTTATTTAAACCACAGCATGTGGCATCATTTGTTTCATCTTTGAGGAGGATTGAAATGAGGGCTGAGATGTACTTAAGTTGAGCCTGGCAAGCATAAGCCTCTGGAGTTCAATCCTCAGCACCACACACAAGCCAAATGTGGTGAGAGTTCAAGACGAGCAGGTCTCCAGACCCTGCCTTTAAAACATTAAATTAATAAATAATTCGTTTATATTTTTAAAAATGTAAAGAATGCTGAAATGAGGAAGGTTTTGCATCACCTCTTCTGTTCTCACGGAACCAATATCCTAGTGGTTTTGAACCTCTGGCCCTAGGACCTTTTGCCACTCTGCCCTTTTCTTTTCAACACAGGCAGGAAACATGGGTTTTATTTCATCTCTATGCAGAAACCTTGAGTGATTAAATGTCCCAGTATACACTATTGCCTGGGTTGGGAAATACTGGTTCAAAATCTTTCTATCGATTTCAAATGTCTTGTTATTTCATGGCCCATGACACACTCTTCCACTGTAAAGGTTGTGTTCACCAGACTTTCTCATTTAATATAATAAAGCATCCAAACGTGATTAGCCTCCAGTAATATTTCTCAACTTTGATTCTGTTGTTTAGGCAGCTTTTCTTTAAGTCTTAAAATTAAGCTCTCCAGCGTTACTGCAGAGCTTTCTTCTTACTCTCTCAAAGTCTTCCCATTTTCCCCTTCAGATAACTGACTGTAATTGAAAACAGGGATGGACTGATAAGTGTTTCTGGGGCACTTTGACCATGAATACTGGGCATGAGTAAATTATTATAAAGCCTCCAGGTTTTATCTTGAAAAATCATAGGCACCTTCCAAATTGTATCATCTGATTGTGAGTAATAATACTGGCCTGCAAAGCCAGTTAATGCACAGTCATATTGACTAATAAATATACACCCTGCCACGTTCTGTGTATTAGGTAACCATTTGATCTCACACCATGACCACACCTCTACTCAAGTTTCCAAACTCATCCTTTGAACTCTACCCTTGAGCTTGTGACAGCTGTGCAATGGATCTAACCAATGCTAAGTAAAGGTCAACATTTGACCAACAGTCTAAACTGTTTGAAGCTTCTACCTCCAAAAAGATGAGTTCAGAGTTTTCTAACAGTTATTTCAATAACTGGAAGAACTATGAGTTGGAATTCTTCTTTGATATAGGAAAAGAATTTAGGTTTCCAGGGGCCTGAAGGAAGAAAAGTAATGAGTTTCATATCAGCGGAAGGTCAAAGAAACACATCCTAAGCAACATCATCTGCCTGTGTACTACACATGAGACTTCCTTATCGATTGACTGATGCCACATTGCATACACTGAGCTTGACTTGACTGTATGGTAATTGAAAGAGAACCTTTTATTCACTGTTGGTGGGAGTGCAAGTTAATACAGCCATTGTAGAGATCAGTTTGGAGATTTCACAAAATAAAAATAGAAATAGAATTACCACAGGACCCAGCTATTTCACTCCTAGGCGTGTGTCCAGACAACTTCATATCATACCCTACTACAGAGACATTTGCAGCCCTATGTTTATTGCTGCTTTATTCACTGTAGCAAAGAATTAGAACCAACCTCATTGTCCATTAATAGATGAATGGATCATGAAAATTTAGTGCATGCACACATGTGTGCATTGCAGTACTAGTAAGTTCTAAAGGAAAATGGAGTTTTAAAAACTTGTGGGAACATGGGGCTGGAGAGATGGCTCAATGGTTAATAGCACAGCTTGTTCTTTCAAAGGTCCTGAGTTCAATTCCCAGCAACTACATGGTGGCTCACAGCCATCTGTAATGAGATCTGGTGTCCTCCTCTCGCCTGCAGGCATACATGGAGACAGAACACTGTATACATAATAAATAAATAAATCTTTTTTAAAAATGTAAGAACATGGATGGATTTAGAATGTATGATATTAAGCAAGGTTGTCTGGGCCCCATATTGAGGGGCCATCTGTCTGTATGCACCAGCTAATATAGCTTCACACCTGAGCAGGAGAGTGTGAATTGAGGAAAGAAACAGGCTAGAGACAGAGGTAGAGTCAGGAGGGCTTCCAGTGAATACTAGGATCAGCCCCAAGTTTATTACTCAAAGCTCCTATATACCCCAATCAAAATGGGGAAAGGCAAAAGACTTCCTTACGAATATACATAGAACAAGCAGAGTAATAGCCTCCTCAACACCCCAAACATCAAGTAACCATATTCTGAGTTAAGTATTCTGTTGTTTAGGCAGGGTATGCATCGACCACCCCTTAGGCCAAACACCCTTTTGCATCCACATCTTAGGCCAGACATCTTCATTGTTTCACCTTGGAAGAGCAAGGACAGGTAAAACTCTACGACCTTAAGTCAAAATGGAATGGAGTCAATTCTGTGGGCTGTCACACAAGGTCACAAAATCTCGGGAAGAAAGAAAAAACAACACACATTCTCTCTCATATGTGGAATTTAGTCAATAATACATGTGAATATGTAAAGAGATGTGCATGTGATCAACAGGAACAGAGAACGGGGTTGTCTAAACACTAGGAGCTGAAGAAGGACTGAATGCAGGCAATGACCCTGAGTTATAAAAGAAAGCATAAAGGTGTTTTTCTAGCTCTGTTTCTGCCATGCATCTTTCTGGTTTTGGTGGTGGAGAAGTGCATAAAATATATTGGACACTGAAAGTGTAAAACCGAACATGAGGGTCCAGAGCCAACTTGTTTGTTTGTTTTTGGAGACAGGGTTTCTCTGTGTAGCCCTGGTTGTCCTGGAACTCAGAGATGCACCTACCTCTGCTGTGAGGTCACCACCACTGCCAAGCCCGAATGTCAATTCTAACTGTAGAGAAGAAGTAGTTCTAGTTAGACTTTGGTTCTAGTTAATTTTGTGTGTAAATAAGTAAATAATTACCTATTTGCCATGTTTATAATAAAGTTTACAAAATTTAAAAAAAACAGCAACTGGAAGAAAAACCAATTAGCTGTTTGGTGGTGTAATTAAAACTTAGCAAGTAAAACAAAGCAGGTTTTTTACTCCTGGTACTTTACCTGAAAGCCCCACCTCTATGACCTCCCCTAGCTGGGCCTCGATTACAGCCACGCTGCTGAAGTCCTAACCTGAGCCGCTAAAGAGTGTTTTAGCGCTCTTTAATCCAGCTGTAAGGGTATGCCTGATTACTTACCCTATTCATGCATCAAAACGGGCCGACCATGGCTTTGAGGAACCTTAAACACACAGCACCTTGTGGTCCAGCATGTCTTAACTTTTAAATAAGCACCTGAAGGAATGGAAGCAGGGACTTACTTGATCATTGGTACCTAGCAGCATCATTCAGAACCGTGGAAGGTGGGGCGTCCCCAAATGACCATCCGAATACGCATAAAAGCACATCTGCTATGGAAGATGTATACAGGATAATGAAATATTATTCAGCCAAACCACACCCGCCAAGAT